GATGAATCATACTCTGATTTTTTTTTAAAATCGTTCCTCACTTCTCCGCTCCCTCCGAAATTGTTTTTATATATGCAAGTTTTATTTTTTATTTCTATTTTTAAATTTTAAATGTTTCTTGTCTGTTGTGAGCCGCCCAGAGTCCCTATGGGAGTGGGCGGCATACAAATCCTAATAAACTTGAAACTTGAAACCCCTTCTGTTTTTTTTTTAACCATTAACATTTCTACTGAGTTATAAAGTCACATAAAATATAACACACAAAGCAAATAGAAAAACAATTTCGGAGGGAGCGGAGAAGTGAGGAACGATTTAAAAAAAAAATCAGAGTATGATTCATCTTTTACTGCAAACTTTTTTTTGAAAATGGAGATTAAAAAAAGGAAACTAGAACTTTTCCTTTTGGGTCTCATGGAAAAAGGGGAAAAATTCAGAACCTTGTTATTGTACATGTTGACAGCCGCAAGACTTACTGTATGCGCAAAAATGGAAGGACCCTTCGATTCCTACCAGTTGCAGAAGTTGAGGGAGTTGGCCGAAATGGCAAAACTGACCTCTTGGATGAAAGAAAAGAACATAAAAGTACTTTTCTTTCCACGTGGAAACCGCTTCTGGACTTTGTGCTTGAAGTGGAAAAGAATGAAACTCTGGCTTTTACCGATCAGACTGATAGGCTTTCATAGAAATGTTTATATTATTATGAAAAAGCAAAAAGTTGTGTTTTGATGTTAAGGCCTTATTTTACTGTAACAGGGAGAGTCAGAAGTCAATGCTTCCCCCCGCCCCTTTATCTTTCCTCACTTCTCCTTCCCCCTTTCCCTCCCCACTGCTGTCCTATTTACTTCACATTTTGCATTTTACATGACTTTATAACTTTTGCATCCTTTCTTTAATGATTTAATGAGGTGGGATGCAGCCGGTTCTCTCCTGAACTGAAGAGCGGCGGCGGCTGAGGGAGGCTCCGCCCAACGGCCCCGACATAATGCGCCAGTGCTGTGCATGCACAGAAGGCCGTGTGCATCTACAGATGAGTGTATGTGAGCGAAACGAAGGGAGGCGTGTGCTCACATTTGCGAATTTGTAGGGAAGGTAAGCGAATCCCACTACTGATTCTATCCCGCTATTTCTTTAATATTAGGGTAAGTCCTGTCCCGCGGTGAGTTGTGCTGTCTGCGGTGAGTTGGCTGTAGCAAGTTGGCCATGGCAAGTTGTCATAGATACCCCCAGCCCCGTCCCACCCGGTGGGAATGATCTGGAGCCCCCTGTGAGAGTGACCTGGCCAAAACTCACTCTTCAGAAATCATTTCCGACATTCGTTGCATCTGTGAGGTTTCGCTTCGGTGTGCAGGTTCTGGTGATCGGTAAGTTGACCATCGTAGGTGAAGTTCTTCCCACACACAGTACATTCCTGATGTTGCTCCTCTGCTGAGACTTTTGGATCTGGTGCCCGTTCTTCCTGGCTGTTCTCTTTTCCTCTGTTTTTAGAATAGGCAAATCTTTCCAGCCGGGCCCGGAGGGATAATTCTGGAGTACGTTTCTCCTCCGTTTCCTTCTTCGTTTCCTCCTTTGCCTCCTCCTTTGCCTCCTCCTTCGTCTCCTCGTTTGTTTCCTCCTTCGTTTCCTCCTTCACTGCGATGTTCTCCTTCGCGCTCTCTTCCATTTTCAGCTTCTCGTCTGCCTTCCGTTTCTTGGCTGCCGCCTTTTCCCGCTGCTGCCGCTTGTAATTGCGCCAATGTTTACGCAGCGCCGCCATGTTCGATGCGGTTGAGGCTGCCGATGGACCTCCTATTTTCTTTAGATGGACTTGAGTGCTTTTCTTTGGTGCCTCATAACCTGTTGAGACAAAGGAACAGCCGAAATGTGAGATTACCAGGGGGAAAAAGAGGGGCTCTGCAGCTTTAAGAGGTAGGAACGCCACCTCCCAGAATTCCCCAGTCGGCATGTCTGAGAAACACTGGCTCAATTGAACTTTTTATTAATAGCAATAGCACTTAAGGCTTAGATACTGCTTAGCAGTGCTTTATACCCCTGCTGGTGTTGCCGCCAAGGGGCAGGTGTTGGGGGCGTGGATGGCCTGGCTGCGGGAGCCCTGAGGTAAGCTGCTGCAGGGTGCTTGTGGTAGCTCTACCACCCCTGGCCTCACAGCTTATTAGGGCTTATATTAAGTGCACACATAAAAACATGCTAAGGCTGGGATGGCGAACCTATGGCACGCGTGCCACAGGAACCATTGGCATGCGTGCCACAGGTGGTACACGAGGCGTTGGCCTATCAGCTGGCCAGCGCACATGCATCCGACGCTTTGGAACGATCTCCCCGTGGAGATTCGCACCCTCACCACCGTCCAGACCTTCNTACAATGAAAGTGAGGTATTTAGTTATATTAGATGAAAAATCTGTGATTGTAAATGTAATTGAAAATATGGATGCAAAAACACTTGTAACCAAACAACATGCTGTATGTAATGGATGAGAATTTTTTTTATGTTGGTTTTTTTATGTTTAGAACAAATTGCAAAAAAAAAGAATTCTAATTAAATTCCAATTAACAGCAAACAGATAAAAACAGCATCTATAATTCTAATTATAATGTACAAAACTTTTCAGAGGAGAAAGATTTTAACTATGTTTCAGATGCTCACAAGATTATACATTTGGCACAGCTATAGCCTCAACCTAAATCAGACTAATCCTGAATTGGAGAACTGGTTTCCATGTGAGTCCTATGTAGTTGTTCTGGT